CTGGAGCGCGTTCGCTCCTGGGGGATAAATCCAGGGATACCGATTTCAGGGGCTAGGAAAGAGTAGAGGGCAAATCCCCAGCGGTGAAGGGAACGGCAGCCCTGGGGAGGTGCCACAGCGCTGTCCCCGGGGAGCACCTGCCCACACCCTACCTTGCCCTCCTGCTCCCGCAGCTCCGACACCTCTGTCTGCATGTAGAACTTCACCCTGTTGCCCTCGAACATCTGGAGGGGGGACACGGGGCAGAGCAGGGGGCATCAGGACCCCGAACCACCCGTGCTCCTGGTGTCCCTGTGCCCCCCGCACTGCCCTGCCCACCCTTTGGGCTCGCCTCAGCCCACGCTGCAAGCAGGTGGGCCACGAGAGGGAAGACGCAGCCTGTTCTTTCTTTCTAGTGACTGCTACCATCACAGCTTAATCAATAAATGTCAAATAACAAATTAATTAGTGCAATAAGTGAAACAAGCAGAATCCGCTCCATCACCAAAACCACCCCCGGATGGGAAAGCGAGGTCACCTTCATGACAGCGCGGCCAACCCTCTCCCCAAAGAACTTCTTGAAGGGGACTTCCTCCAGCTCCACCACTGACACCGAGTGGGCCCTCTCCGTGAGGTAGGCAGCCACCTCCATCCCTGGGGAACAGAAGCAGGTCCAAGTGGCCACAGGAACCTCCCCCAGCGCTGCCCTGCATCCCTGGCACTGGCTGCAGTGCGGGAGCAACCTTGCCCATTCCTGGCTGGGGAGGCTGGAGCTGCGTTACTGGGAGATACGGGGTGCCACCAGAGCTGGTGGCCACAAGGGGCCACACCTTTTCAGGTGAGATTTACGATTTATGGCAATTTGTTCTTAAATGTAAGTTTCAAAGACCTAAGGGAGGAACTGGCCATGATTAAGTCCCAAAGTGCCCCAGGAAGCCATAGCACTTGGAGCAATGGACCTCAGATGAAGGAAAAAACCTTCCCCTTATGCCTGGGACTGTCTCGGCAGACGTAGTGAGCTGCGGGCTGACAACAGCCTTGTGACTAGCTGTTTTCTCGGATCAGAATGGGAGAATTTTGATGTTGGCTATTGTATGGGATCCTTCACCAAGATGTTTTCTATTTATGGGGTTTTTTTGGAAATGGATCTTTTTGATGACCTGCAGTTTGCAATTGCCCCCACACACCACATGCTCTTCTGTAGATGGGACTGATTGAACCATTAAAGCAGGCATTTTTTTTTAAAAAAAGAAGAAAAGCAAATACCAAACATTTTATGATAAATTCCCTGACTAATAACCATTTATGCTTAAGGCTTGCAGGACCTACAATAATTCTGTTAGAACCATATCAAGCAAAAAGAAGAACCATCAAAGAAGCTATAAGATTTTTCCCGTGTATTTTAAAAATTCTCCACCCTGCTAAAAAGTAAAAGAGAAATAAACCCACAGGTTTTCAGCTATCAACAAGACCCTCCCAACTGAAGCCAAATCTAGACACACCAGATTTGAAACCACCTGAGCACCAGTACTGGACTTGCCATGTGCTTTTCAGACTGGGACAGCAATATCTGTGTCTATGCAAGCTGAATGGCCCA